TTACAAGCTCCCCCTCACAAGATCCTCTCTCTCTCCCTCTCTCTCTTTCTCTCCTCAAGGCCTTCTCAGGTCAAGGCAGCAGCCAAATGTCTTTCAAAATGTTGAACAAGAGCTCTTAAATAGAAGAGCTTCAAAGGAGCTCATTAATTGCAAGTTGCCGACAATATCGTCCAAGTCGATATGGACATCGGCTTTTCCGATCAGTACAAATCTCAGAAGATCGGCCAGAGCATCGCCCTGAATATAAACTTGGACGATTTAAAATTGGCTTGATCATCCAGGCCGATCTCACGATCGACCCGGCCGATCAGTTCAAATCAGAGGAAAATCGTGTAGAGCATCGCTCCGAATTTGAGCTGGCCGATATTTATCGTCCAGAAGTAAGTAACTAAAGTTTTTGAATAGATCGTCCTGGCCGATCCTGCGATCGTCCAGGACGATATGATCGTATTAATCATCCTTAATTACTCCCTTGATTTCCTAATCAATTAAGGCATAATTTGTGAATATCGTCCTGGCCGATAATTTAAAAAATATACCTTAATTGTCTATGGCGGCAACTTCTTTCTGTTTTGAGCTTATCGTCCTGGCTAATACACATATCGTTGAAGTGTGTGTGTGTAGGGTTACTTAGCATCAGTCTCTTTGACCATTACAAATAGACTCAAGAAGAGAAAAAACAAAGTACAGACTGACTCAACCCTAAACCTACGCAATCTTGAATTGGCTTAGTTTGTTCGTCCGATCTTCTATTCCGGAAAAGTTAGAAGCAACAAGCAGTCCAAGAGAATCAACAGTGTTTGTCAATCATCAAAACATGAGTCATGAAAATAGATTTGCAACATTCTTCACACCATCAACCACTTTTTGCATCTTCTTATTCCTAAACTTCACATGCATCCATGGACGTTTGTTCGTCCGATCTTCAATTCCTGAAAAGTTAGAAGCAGCAAGCAGTCCAAGAGAATCAACAGTGTTTGTCAATCATCAAAACATGAGCAATGAAAATAGATTTGCAACATTCTTCACACCATCAACCACTTTTTGCATCTTCTTATTCCTAAACTTCACATGCATCCATGGACCATATGAAATCTCATCAACATGAGATGATTTCTTAGGAATTTCCCTGTCAGAAAGATTCAGAACGGGTGAGACATTAGGACACACAGAAACTTTATGTCCAATCCTTCCACACTTGAAACATAGAATCGATAAATTCTCATATTTAATTTTTTGAAAAAAATTTACCACTCAAACCTTCAATCCAAATTCCACAAGGCAGCTTTGTATTTAATTTGATTTGAACACAAGCTCTAGCAAATTCTCTTCTACCCCATTTGAACATGTTACCATCTAATAACAATGGGGTTCCAATTCTAGAAATGATTTTTGTAATATTAGTTTCATCCCAACAATGAAGAGGTAAATGAGGAAGTCAAACCCAAATGGGTGAAGAAATTCCATCCATAGAAATAGGAGAGAAAACAGGAGATCATTTGTCTATACCAATGACGAAACCCCGAACATACCAAGGTCCTCCATTAAAAACTTTCTCCATAGCTTAGATGAATGAAATGAGCACAAAAGCCAATCTAACCCAAATGACGTTATATGAAAACCATAAATTTTCTCCATTGTTGTTTTAATTCAAGACTACAAATTAAAATTTATATACTAAAATAT